TAAAATAACCTTGGCTTCTAGAGTGGATTGTTCTAGGTTGTGTGTGGACCTAGGTTTTCATTTATGTTAGCTAACATAAGGTTCATAGCTTGGAGCTATCCTAGAACATGGTTATATAGAGTTGGCCTATTTTAAATATTTTAGGGTTATTTAAAAAGTGATTTATTTGATTATAAATTTTATCACTTATGGTGACAAATCAAAGTTCTTTTAAAGTTTGTCAGTTTCATTTTTTTTTCTAGGGTGTCGGTTGATGTAAGAAAATCATTGTTCTTCTAAAGTTTGGTGTCCAGTTTTCTCACATAAGTGTTCTTGTTCTTCATTCTAAGGTTTTTAGTATGTGTAGTATAAGACTTCATATTCTGAAGGATTAAACCTAAACCTTAATTCCATATTTTTAATATTCACAGATCAGTCATATTCTCATTGAAAATAATTTTTTTCATACAAAAAAGATTTTTTAAAAAATTAACTTGTAATGCAACTATGAGCGATATGAATTTTCTCTTACATGAAACTCATACACTCATAAGCCAAGGTTACAAAATCATATATTTTTTTGGGACAAACAATATTTATTCGATAAATATTTATGCTAGGGAGTGGATAAGACTTGTCTGGGCTAAGTAGTTGAGAGATTATAAATCACTTTATTTCCTAAGCTCAAATGGGGGTTTTAAAAAAATATTCTTTGAAAATGAATTCTTTTTTAGTTGTTTTTAGTTAAAGTTTTAATATGGTTTTAATTAAAGTTTTAAAAATAGAGTTTGGATTAAATTAAGTTAATCTTTTAACTTTTTTGAAATGAACTTTCGACTTTGAATAGATTCTTTATAAGTTTACAAGGTTCTAGCTTAATAATAAGAATTTTTAAAATTGCCTTTTTAATAAAGAAAAACTTTAAACTTTGAGCAGGTTAAGATTTTAACTTTTAAAAAGTCTCTTAAATTTTGTTTTGTGTTTTGAAATGAACTTTGAATGTAAATAACTATTTAAAATTGTTTTTTTTTAAAAGGTATTTTGAAAAATTGTTTAAATTTAAAAAGTTTAAATTTTGAAATTGTTCTCTCTATCTTGAATAGATCTTTATCTTTTGAATTTTGAGGAGCTTGAGGTTTTTATAAATTTTAAAATTAAGAAATTTTGAGCTCTTCTAGTTAAAGTAAAGAAAACTTTAATTTGGATTTTATTATATTATAAAAATTTTTAAAGTTAGTACACAACTAATTATTGTAAAAATACTTTAAATTAAATTGTTAATATACTTTTAAAAATATGTATCGTCAGAGCACATTTCAATTTTTAAACATAAAAATATTTTTTTATTTATTTTTTTTAAAATTACCAAACTCTCTTTTGCTTAGAAACATATTTTCCCTTGGGAAGTTCAATCATTCCTCTTATAATCATCTCAACCACATGATTTAAGGCTTAATAAGTTATTTTTAATTAAACTCATTCAATCTTATTATGTATTTATAGTCATTAAATTGATTTTTTTAGCATGTTAATTTGCATAAAAAAGTAAACTCATCCAAATCATGCAACATACACCAATTGGTCAACATGCAAAGGCATACATCCATGCAATCACACTCATCACATTTTCACATATTCTCATTTCTCTTCTTCTTGTATTTGCAAATACACATTGCATTACACATGGACACCATATTGCATAAAAATAATAAACACAAGTTAACTTACATAAAACATGGAAAACATCACATTAAATTAAGCATAGGTAAACATGAATCCTAAGTTGAATTAACATAGATGAACATAATGATACGCTTTTCTTATTATTTTTTTCTTTTGTATATGTAAAACATATGTGCATTTGCATGAAGCAAACATAGAGCTTTCATATATTAACTTACACATTCTTACATTTAAACTAATTTGCATACACACTTGAACACACATTCACTCATTTACACATAAGCATACATTTACTTACATACATGCACAAATGATTAATCACATTAGTATACATATTTCCTCACCCTTTAATTTTTTTTTTATTTCCTTTATTATTAAAATTTCAAGTAGGCTAGTTTCAATGGTTTTGAGCTAGTTTGGGTGATGTTTAACCAAGTTTGGGTTTCGGGTAGGGGTATATTCGAGTGGATCTTGACTTGGTTTAAGTGGTTAATGGTTGTTTGAGTGATTGGTTGTCAACTAGATGGTGTCTGCGTAAACTAGATTGAGTGAAAGATTAATGGGTTAGGTAGGTGTCAAAGGGGTTAATTAGGTAGGTAATGGGTTAATTTAGCAAGTTATCGATTATTTGGATAAGTAATGTATGAATTTAATTTTTAAATCAAGGTTAAGCCAATTTAAATCGGTTAAGGGGCTCATTTAAATGGTTAGAAAGAAGATTAATGAGGTTTTATGGTAATTAGGCTTCGTTAGAGTGATGTTTAAGGGTTAGGCTTGTGATTAGTAAAGATTTAGAGGGATTAAGGCTATGTTAGTGTGAGATTAGTGGATTTGAAAGTGAAATTGTGAGTGTTTAGTGGAGTTAGAGTTTGGTTAGGGTGTCATTAAGATATTAGGAAGTGAATTTGTAAAGGGAACAATGACTGGTGCTCGGTTTTGCTGAATAAATGGAACTAGACATTCAATTTTAGTGAATTTGGGAGAGTAAGCAAGCTATTAACACAATTGAACACAATACATAAGAACGCCATATGAATTTTTATGAAAGCTCAAAATTCATAACCTATGACATAAGGAATGTCAAAATCCCCAACTTTTACACATGAAACATACATTACATTTTTTTTTTTTTGGCTAAGAAAGCAAGGAAACATGCTTAATTATGTGAATTATCATCAAATTAACATCTTACAATTCAATTAAACCAAAAGCCTTACAAAACATGGATGGAATTTTCAATTTTTGCTAAATAGACAAGAAAACATGCTCAATTATGTGAATTAACATCATGTCAATACATTATAATAAGATTAAAATAAATGCATCGTGGATTCTTACACTAATCATAACACATTATAAGAAACTTTCAAAAATTAGCATAAAAACATGAATTAATAGGTAATAAGAAGAAATTCAAGGAGAATTTAAACATTTGATGATGAAATTAACAAACAACATCAAGAAGAACAAGCAATCATTAAGAAGAACATGAGATTGAATGTTTGATGGTGAAGAAGAAATTAAAACTGCAAGTTTAAATAGAAGATTTATACCTTCCTTGTTATAATTCCTTTGCTTGATGTGCTTTGCTTGGGGATTTTCCTTACTCCTTGTGTTCCCTGCCTACTCTTTGTTTGGATGCCCATGGTTTGAAGGAGAAAAGATGGGAGAGGCTCCCGATTTGATGAGGAATGAGGGAGAAGTTCTCGATTTTGGAGTATTCATTTATCAGCCAAGTATTTAACAAAGTATTTAAGCTCATTTGATTAACTAAGCAAATGACCCTGAAAAAGTTCTAATCAAGCAAAGCTACATGTAACTTATCAAATAGTTGTTTTATTTTCAACCCTAATCGCACCTCTCCAATGGAAAGCACTTTAACTAATGGTGTGTCTGCAAAGGCAAGTGAGGTCTTTGCAGGAGTCGAGGATAAGCTTCCTCATGAGATTTTAGGGAGGTTTTTCTCAAATAAGTGGCTACGTCTTCCTTACTCTATCTTGTTTAAGAGCTTGGCTAATGGACAATCTTTTAATTCATTAATGTATTCATATACATTTACGTAGGAATTGGTAAGTTCCAACATCATGGCCAGAATTCTTGGTTACTATTAACCAAGTGCATAATTGAATGGTAATTCATAAAGACTTTGGGTCAGCCTAGCTTAAGTCCCAATCGACTATACCTCAAACATTTCTCTTTCAAACTAAATTTCTAAGTGACCCGTCGGCTTTTAGTCCAGTTCAAAAGCTTCTGGATATTTAGGGCAGTAAGTGCTTGAAAACTGAGTTATAAGTATTCACTTAAACTATGTAAATGATATTGTTGTCCCCAAGGGTAACCTAGAAAATCACCCAAGCCAAATCCTTGAAGATTTTGAAGAACAAGTAGTATTTTTATGCATCATTTATATTGAGGAAGAAGATAGAAACTCAAAGTAAGCTTGTTAACAGGGCCAATTCATCATCCTTGGTACATCTTTATATGGGTTTTTGAATATTATAGATGAACATGCTATGGCAATGTCTGTATAAAGAACATTTGTTAGTCATACTCTCCCTTATCCACTTGCCCCTCAGTCAACAATTCTTCTTCCAATTCCAATAGTCTCATCCAAGTATGCTAGAATTTTATATTGGATTATTTTGCAAAGAGTGTTTTTCATTTAATATTATTGAATTTAATTTTTTTTTGTTTAATTTTAAATGAAAATAAAATAAAAATTTAAAAACACCCAAATAATTTAGTAAAGAGCCCAATTTCACACCAATGACAATTTCTTCGCTTTTGTCATGCAAGTCAATTTCACCTACTCATCTCAGTCCCTCACGCACGTCATCTTTCCCCCTCACCTATGCCACTTCACCCTCTCCCTTACCAATGCCACCACCCCCATTTTCAAACTCAAGAGTTTACAAATATAAGAAAATAGAATGAAAGAATATTTAAATTATATTCTAGCAAATAAAAAATATTTCAATGTGTTTAATTTGCATCAAATCAAATAATTACATTTCTAAAATACAGGCATTTTAATTATTACGCATTTTTAAAATACATCTAATTTAAAAACATTAAATGTAACAGCCCCTACACGTAAAAGCAAAAATTCAAACAAACAGTAGATTGCAATTACATTTTAAATAATTCTACAATCACTAACGCGGTGTTTTCAATTGCAATGTGCCAGCCAGAATTCACCTGCAATCATGATAATGGATTCAAACACAATTTAGGACAGCAAGTCATCATCACATCATTAACGTTATCCAAACAATCAACAATTAAACGAGCTGCATAAAAAAAGAATTAAGTGAAAAATGCCTCAAAGTGGTTTGAGATTGAGAATAAATTCCTTATTTTGAACAAACTGACCAAGTTTTCTACAAAATTGTCCAATCTCTCAACTGAACGAATCCCCAAAAAATAAGAGGAAATATAGCTTACTCACAAACTGCGTACGCACCTCCCATCAGCAGAAGTATAAGCAACCATCCATGCTTTCAATTGCAGGAACCGACTGAGCTAGAAAAATCAGTACCAGCTGCAATGCCCGGGGCTGATTATGGCTTCTCTCAGCAAGGCAAGGGCCTGCAACATTAGAATGGCATCTATGGCAACACAGTTCAAATTTTATTTTGATTTTTTCTGCTCTGAGGCTCTTGCTCCTATAAGATTGCAAACTGGTTGATCAGGTGGGTGAAGAAGTTTAAGTGCGGGATGAACTTTGAGATCTTTCACAACAATCTTCTGACCAACATCAAGTTCGCTCAAATCAACATCAATATAAGGTGGAACTATGTCAGCAGGGCAAAGGTAGTTGACAGTCCTCTTAATGGTATTTAAATAAGCCCCTGCAATGTAAGCACAAGTTAAAAGAAGCTATATTCAAGAACGGAAGTTATGAACCATCAAAAATAAATGTAGAAGTAACAGAACAATGGAGATTGGTGAATAGAAGATGATGAAGCCCATGGTCAACGAGATCAAAGGTTGTGTAGTGGATTCATCGCAGGTGTTGATATAATTGAAGCACTAAAAAGAAACAATTGATACTAAAGAGTTCAGAATATCTCGCCATTGACAGTTGGAACAACATTGAGAATGAAAAATAATAACAGCACAGGTGAATTTCGTTAGAAAACTATGGGGATTCAGATTCTGTCATTCAAGCTTTATCAAATGAAAACCATCTCTAAGAAAATAAGGAAAAAATTTTAATGCAAAAAATTTCAATTTTCTTGTCCTGGAAAAGAGGATGCGTGACTTGCTCCTACAATGGCACCCAACATTTTTTGGACGAGATTGTTGCTGTTACATGCATGAATAAGATGAACTCATACAACCACAGAATAATCAGAGACTACAATTTAGTTTAGACAATGGAGGACAAAAGGTTTCTATCAAATTCAAGAAAGCAAAAGCTAAAAAAAACGCATATGGCAGGCATGCAAGTAGTTTCTCAAATTATTCAATAAAACATGAAAATAGAAAGGAATTAGGCCAAAAATACTGGAACGTAAACGGTTAAAAAAAGATAATTCCATGTAAAAAGATTTGTCATAGTTAACTGACAATATATTACTTCTATACATTAGAATATATTAGTTTTCAATTAATCAGCAAACACTATTAAAAATGATATACCTTTCCTCAATCCTGGGCACGAATCTTCTCCTCTGAAGAGTAGAGGAACATCAACTTTCAATAATGCGTTAGAAGGAGCCCTCATAAACGTGACATTAAGAACAGCATCAGTGCCCGAATGTAGATGAAGCTAACAAAGTAAAGCAAGCATTCATCAGGACAAATGAATTATTATGAGAACACAAGCTCAAATCCCTATGGCCACCATAAAATATATACAAAAATAATTTCAGAAAAAAGAAAATATGAATCCAACTCAGTTCCAATATTTAATTTAAAATGTAGAACAGTATACCATTTCCATTCTAAATATGCTGCACCACTATAAAAAAAGATGTTTGATCCTTGAACCTCCTATCTACACAAAGTTCTTTACCTGTAATTGTATAAAAATTTGGAAAACAGGCTCCATAGATGAACTTTTAGTTCTCATAAACATCAGAGATAAAACAGTAAATAGAAATTAGACAGGCAAATAAGCCCCAGGTAAACTCGCCCAGTCATACACAAACATGAACTCACCAGATTGCATCAAGGCAGACTCTCCGCTGAGCTCAAGGTAGGCTCGCCAGCCGAATTCAAAAGTGAACTAGACAGCTAAGCTCTGGGAGGACATGCCAATAGAGTTCAAAGTGAACTCACCAGCTGGACTCAAGATGACTCGTGAAGATCATGCCAGACTCATGACGATCGCACTGACTGACCAAGCTTAGGCATTGGTTCTCAAGCCCAAATGCCATCTGTTGACTTCTTAAAGGGGATCGGTGACTTCCTCCTAGCCAATCAACTAGAGATCCAAGCTCCTACTTAAGCTACACGCGTCTTGTATTTTAGAATGACTAATCAATGGATCTTCCGTTGTACTTTTCATACTCATGTACCTCATTAGCTTGCTTTTTTATAGTGTATTTCATGCTCATTTACCTCATTATATAGCTTTTTTATTGTACTCAAATCTTGAATCAAAACTATAAATAAAGTGGAACGAAAAGCCCCTAATAATGTTATCTTATGTAATCTAGCCCAAGATTATTGTACTCGAGCTTTCTATTGTGCAATATTTGAGGTCACCCTACTATTCTCTTTTATCACTTTTTCCCTGTGCTAAGTAAAATTCTGGTATAATTCATGAATATACAATTTAGGTTCAACATACGCATAAGTGTAGTGCACGTTAATCTATAGTGAAATTTTCAAATCAGTAAAGACATGCAGAGAATCATGAGAAAATAGTCAGAAAAGCAGCAAAAGAGATCTTTGACAACTTGGAGAATTAAGAGTTAGTTGGAACTAGGTAATTAGTTGAGATGACAGATAGAATCAAGAAGATGGTCCAAAGAATTTTAGAGTAGATACTAAGAAAAAATTCTTGGGTGCAGCTACCAGCAATGTTTAAAGAGGTAAAATCAAGAAACCAACAATGTTTAAAATGGCAAAATCAAGAAACCAGCAATGATTAAAAATTCAAACTTGGGAATTGAGGTCTTTTCCTTAACGAAGTGAGGTGCAAGGCATAAAACAAAAAAATAAAAAACTCATAAAATTAAACATCATTCATAAATATTACAAATCATAAATCTTAATCTTAAATATTAATAATATAAAACAAAGGTTTGAAATAAAATTTAACCGTTAAACTTTAAAGTCTCACAAGGACCGGGATCTATAATAGCATCATCGTCATTTTCATCTTCATAATAATCATCGTATTTAACAGCTCTATTATAATTAAATACTTTGTTATCATCTACAAAAATCTTTTTCAATTTTCACATCTTTTATTGTACTCCCTACATCAATTAATATTTATTAAATATAATTTTAAATAAAATAATAAATTAGTAACACAACTAAGTAATCTGCTATACTTAAATTATCTTTTAATTTTTTTAAAGCTCCAAACCCACCTTTGATTTAGAAAAAGCTTTCCATAAAGTTCCAATAGATGTTCTTTAAAGAGTTCTTGAGAAGAAAGATGTTGATATGACTTATATTCAAGCCATTAAAGATATATATACAAGAGTTGTTACTTGTGTTCGAACAAAATGAGGAATGACCAAATATTTTCCTTTTACTGTTAGTTTAAATCAGGGATCGGTTTTAAGCCCATCTTTTTGCTTTAGTTATGGATGGTCTTACCGAACACTTACAGGAGGATGTACCGTGGTGTATGTTTTCTGTTGATGATATCTTTCTCGTGGATAAGACGAGAGAAAAAGCCCAGAAAAAACTTGATGGAAAAACTTGCATTATGGAGATCTACCTTGGAGTCTAAAGGCTTTCTTTTGAGTTGAACTAAAACTAAATACAGGGAATATAATTTTAGTAGTAGTAGCTCTAGTGACAGAGATATAACTATGGGTGATCAAATTATTAAAAAGTGTGAACGCTTTAGATATCTCGGGTTTATTGTTCAAAGTGATGGTGATATTGATGGGGATATTATTAGTAGAATTCAAGTTGGTTGGTTGAAGTGGAGGAATGCTTCGGGCCTATTGTGTGATAGAAAAGTACTGCTTAAACTGAAAGGAAAATTTTATAAGATGTTGGTGAAACTTGTAATGCACTGTTGCGCTGAATGTTGGCCTTTAAAAGAGAAGCATAAAACCAAGTTAAGTGTTGCCGAGATGAGAATGATTAGGTGGATGAGTGGATTTACACTTAGAGACAAAATGCAGAATGAATTTATTCGAGGTAGGGTTGGTGTAGCTCAAGTGACGGACAAAATTAGAGAGAATCGTTTTATATGGTTTGGTCCCATTAAACGTTGACCATCTGATGATCCGATTAGAAGAGTAGATGTTTTAGATTCGACTTATGTTAAGAAAGGTAGGGGTAGACCAAGGAAAACTTGGGCATATTGTATAAAAAAATGATCTTAATTTATTAGAATTAAATGAAAATATGATGCTAAAGAGAATGCAATGGAGAAAAAGGATTCACGTAGCCGACCCCACTTAGTGGAATAAAGGTTTTGTTGTTGTTGTTGTTGTTGTCGTCCAAACCCACTTTGCATCTTTCTTTTAACTAGTTGTGAAGTCGAAGGTACTCCAAATTCAATATTCCTTTGGCTCCTTTCCATGTTAACATTGTTATCTTCATTATCATTATCAATAAAGGTTATTAATTCATCCTCATACTCAAATACTTAATTACTCTTAGACATTATCCATTTATCATTAGTCAAAGGATCTATTCTATTACTATCATTTTTTTATTTTTGTAACTTCAAGTCTCGATCTTTCAATTTTTTATCGAACATAATATAAATTAACTTGTTCATTCAACTTGCAACCAATCGATTTCTTCTCCGTGTAGGTTATTGGTTGAATATGTTCCAATTATACTCACATGTGAAAGCTATACAGTTAATACTATAAACTTTCATAGTAAATGCTTTGAGTTCAGCTGAGCACATCATCTCCGATTTATGCCTACCAAAGTTCTAGCATAAGATAAATGAAATTAGTAATATATAAAGATAACAAGTACATATATAAATCTAGATGGTTATGACCATTCAATGTATAATATTATATAATACATCTTCTCCGTGTAGGAGTTTCTATTATATAATATTAAATTGAGAATATTTTTAGGAAAACTGAAATCTAGATGGTTATGATCATTCAATGTAATTAAAGCTTATCATTATGAAACTGTACTTATTAAAGATCTTAAAATTAAAAAGATATTTAAAGTTAAAGGGCATCGATTGAAACATTATTATGAGGGGCACATGTCACAATTTAAAGAAATTTTAATGTTGAGTCATACAGATTAAACATTGATTCGTCGGGCTGACGACATTAAACCAAACACTTTTTGGGAGGCAACCCATATATATCTATATATATATATATATTTTAGTATTTTGTTTAATAATTGTTCTTTGTATTAGAAAATAATAAAACTTTAGAATCCTACACAGTATATCATAAATCAAGATAAATTTTGGTATTTGATGAAAATATGGAAATGAATTGAACCAAAAAACGAAACAGACGCAACTTTGGTTTTGGCACCGACGGCACCCTTTTACAGAAGTCATGGCGCCGACGGCGCCATCAAGGATGCCGACATCGCCCAGTGCAATTTCGGCAGTTCACGACAAATTTGGCGGACTTTTACGGGATTTCACTTCAAAATAACTATCTAGAAGTCTTTTTAAAGGCATGAAAAGAAACTTCCAGATTTCGAAATTCATGGCTTCCAATTCCAGAAATACTTCAAGGTATGGAGTTTTCAATAGAATAAAGTTCATCAGTTTTTACGCGCAGAGATTATACGACAAAGTCATCATGAAGAAGAGACTTATCAAGGAGAGAGGCTTTGTCAATCATGGATTGAGTAATCCAAGTTCTCAGATTGAGAAAATCATAGCACAGAGACGTTGAGAAGTTTTATGCTACACTACCATAGCAGTAGTTGTTCCAATGGTAAATGAATTTTACGCTAACCTACATGGAATTAACCAAGGAGTTGTCTTCGTTCGAGGTAAGGGTGTACTATTTACTCCGTCTCGAATTAACGATATGTTTATGATAGAAAGCATGTCGATCTGTCATTATACGAACTTTATACCAATGAAGGATATGATGCATGATTTATACCAATTTTTGAATGATGAAAATGATAATTGAGAAATTAGAGAAGATGGGTACATTAGTTTCTCTGCTTTAATGTTTAATCTGATATTTAAACAATGGCATTTCTTCATCTCTGCAAAACTACTCCCACAATGAAAATTAGTAGAGTTACAAATGAAAGTGCAATTTTATACTATTGCATTCAAATGGGAAAGCCCATTAATGTGGGATCAATTATTATCAAATCTATTATAGGTATTATTATAAATGGATCTATATATGGACTGGGACATCCTTCTACAATCTTCTTACTTTGCAGTCAAGCTCAAGTGCTATATGAAATTTGGGAGAAAGTATTATTACCCTGGGAGCCCATAGATCCTATTGATGAAAATTATATTCGGAATGGAAATGAAGTGTTGGATATTATCTTGGATCATTCATCACATGCTTCGACACCCTTAATGCCCTAAACAGTTAGAAGTTCAATAGTTTTGGAGAAGAAAATGAAGAAAATAAAAAGAGAACTTTAGAGTATCAT